TGTGTATTCCCACTGGTAGATCGGATAGCATTTAGGATCTATTTGTGAAAAGTTCTTGTTATCCAACCTGTCATTTTTCTTGCAGTTGTGACGGCTACTTTATTGTGTTCTTTAAAGGTAAGGTCTTCCGACATGAGTACACCCAAATCCTTTACATTGCCTTTTCGTTCTATGTTATGATTTGCCTGAGTTTTGTACGTGGTTTCTGTTTTTATATTTTCAATTTTTCCATAGCGCATGAGCTGGAACTTATCCTCGTTAACACCATATTATTTTCTGTAGCCCATAGAAAGACCTGATCTACATCTGATTGGAGGTTTGCCGTGTCCTCTATGTTGCCAACTCTCATGAAAATCCTAGTGTCATCTGCAAAGGATGATACAGTGCTATAGGTTGTGTTCTGGTCTATGTCCGATATGAGGATGAGAAAAAGTACTGGAGCAAGCACAGTACCCTGGGGGACTGAGCTCTTCACGGTTGATGGGCTGGATTTTATTTTGTTGACTATTACACATTGGGTTCTGTTAGTTAGGAAATTGTAGATCCATCTGCCTATTTTCCCAGTAATTCCTTTTGAACGCATTTTATGTGCAATAACACCATGGTCACATTTATCAAAGGCTTTTGCGAAATCTGTGTAAATTACATCAGCATTTCGTTTGTCTTCCATAGCATCTAATGCCATATCATAGTGGTCCAGCAACTGCAACAGGCAAGAGCGCCCTGTTCTGAAACCATGTTGTCCGGGGTTATGGAGATGCTGTGATTCCATGTATTTTGTGATCTATCTTCTTAGCACTCTCGCAAAAATTTTTATGACGTGCGATGTTAGTGCTATCGGTCTGTAATTTTTTGCCTCTGCCTTATTTCCTCCTTTATGGAGTGGTGCTATCTCTGCTGTTTTTAGTATGTCAGGGATAACGCCAGTATCTAGGCTTTGTCTCCACAGAATGTCAAGGGCCTGCGATAGTGGTTTTTTACAGTTCTTGATGAATATGGAGTTTCAAGAATCCGGGCCTGGTGCAGAGTGCATAGGCATACTGTTTATGGCTTCTTCAAAATCTAGTGGGGATAGGGCGAAGTCTGATACTTATATGATTTGATGTTGGTATCATATCCATGAAAAATTCATTTGGGTTATCAATCTTTAGTGCATTTAATGGCTCGCTGAAAACAGAGTCGTACTGCTTCCTCAGTAACTCGCTCATTTCTTTGTTGTCATCGGTGAAAGTTCCATCTCCCTTTCGCAGGGGCCCGATACTAGATGTGGTTTTTGATCTTGATTTTGCATAGGAGAAAAAATATTTCGGATTTCTCTCTATTTCACTGATGGCCTTGTGCTCTCTTTGCCTCTCCTGGGTTTTGTATGATTCTTGTAGCTTGAGTTCAATTGTTTCTATTTCTCTACCTAACCTTCTTCGCCGTTCTTGAGATAGGGTGCGACTCTCAAGTTGTTCGGCGATTCGTTTTCTTCGCCTATATAGGGAACGACATTCCCGTTCCAATCTGCATCTCTTTCTCTTTTTTTCTTAGGGGTATGCGGTTTGAACATATTTCTAGTGCTACTGAGCTTTTTTTTTTCCAGGCACTGGTTCAGGTTTGCATTTTCTAGCTGTTCTTCCCAGTTTATTTCTGTGAAGTCCTGGTTTATTTGCTCCCAGTTTATCTGTTTATTATTGAAGTTGAATTTGCTGAAATCTCCTCCACTGGGAATCTGGACTGGTTTTGAAGGTCCATTCCCCATGGTTGTCAGAACTTCAATTAAGTTGTGATCTGAGTAACAGGTATTTGTAATCATTATGTTCCCGATCAACTCATCATTATTAGTGAAAATGAGGTCCAGCGTGTTCTCCTTCCTAGTTGGTTCTACTATTTGCTGGTTTAAGGCAAACCTATCGCACATCCGTAGCAGGTCATTTGCATGTGCCTGTTCATTTAGGCTACTTCCTGGTATTCTTTCTGATATTACTGTATTAGCCAGGTGTTTCCATTTCAGGTGCCGTAGGTTGAAGTCCCCAAGCAGAATGATGTTCGGAGCTGGATTTGCGAGGTTTTCCAAGCAGTGCTCTATTTTCATTAGTTGGTCTTTAAACTGCTGAGGGTTTGCCTCCGGCGACTTATATACAACTACATTTAGGATCTCTATTTTGACTATCAGCACTTCCACCATATCATTTGAGGTGTTTGCCAGCTCAGTACAGATGAGTGTGTCTTTGATGTAGAGGCTGACCTCACCCTGAAGCCGGTGTTTCCTATCACATCTTAAAAGATTGTACTCTGAGATCCATATTTCACCATCAAGGTAGTCCTTTGTGTGAGTTTCCGTTAGGGCTGCAAACACTGCATTTGCCTCATGAAGGAGACCATCTATAAAGTGAACTTTGTTGAATTTGCGTGTTTTTATACCCTGGATGTTGGCAAATATAAATGTTATCGTGTTAGTGGAAGTGCTGGATGCTTTACTTGGTGTTAATATCTGAGGCTCTGGTAAGGAGGCCACCGTGTTTGCGTCGTCTCTAGCATTTGACCGAGTTGGTGGTAGAGTCTGGTCATTTTTAGCCATTCTTCTCCTCCTCCTCTTGCTAAAAAATTATCCCGGTCGATGGAGTAGTGGCTGTTTTCATAGTGGTAGTCTGTCGGTTTTATTCGCCTGGTACCTCTTATATGAAAAGCTGGACATTCAGCATTGAAGCACTCTTTCCTGTCCAAAGAGTTCTTGCAAATTTCTGGGTGAAAGAATTCACAGCTTTTGGTACATTTACCTGTATTGAGGAGGTTTCTGCACTTTCTAGGGTGATCGTATGTACATGTTCCATTTATTCTTCCCGATTCCCCATGCTTACAGGTAGCCCATTTGTAATACCAACAGATTTTGGGGCCTTGTTTTGTTTGTTTCCCTTTGCCAGGGACCGCACTCTGCTGCGGCGTCCCAGACACTGTGCCCTGCTCCGGTGCCTGTGACACCGCGCTCTGCTCCGGTGCCTGTGACACCGCGCTCTGCTCCGGGGCCTGTGACACCACGCTCTGCTCCGAGGCCTGTGACACCGCGCTCTGCTCCGGGGCCTGTGACACCGCGCTCCGCTCAGGGGTCCCCGACTCCGCGCTGTGCTCCGGAGCCTGTGACACCGCGCCCTGCTCAGGCGTCCCCGACTCCGCGCCCTGCTCAGGCGTCCCCGACTCCGCGCCCCGCTCAGGCGTCCCCGACTCCGCGCCCCGCTCAGGCGTCCCCGACTCCGCGCCCCGCTCAGGCGTCCCCGACTCCACGACCCGCTCAGGCATCCCTGACTCCGCGCCCTGCTCAGGCGCCGCTGCCACTGAGCTCTGTGCCACATCTGGTTGTACCTTGGCGTCATGTACAGTTTGTTTGAAGACATTAAAATTGCTATGCAGGCATTAATTAGTAATTCTCTGTTTTCGGCAGGAGTTTTATCCAGGATTTCCATCAATTTCAAAAAAGTTACATCATCCTTTTTGCAGAGCCAGTACACAGAGTGGTCACTGGGACCATTTCTCCTTGAATTGTTAGTCATGTTGGCACATTTTTTGTGTATGGCTGCTGAACAGAGTTGGCATTGAAAGCTCTGTTGGTAATCTACCTTCATGTTGCATTCTATGCACGTTTTTATCAAAGCCATTTTTTGAACACTTCTGTTCAGTGGTGATGGTCTTACAAGGTGGGGGGGGGGTTGACCCCGGGTGTTGACCGTGGGTGCTGGCCGTGGGTATTGACCGTGGTGTTTACCAACTTGAGACAGGCCTGGAGGAGGCTGTATGGATGGCCAGTGTTGCTACCACGTGTCGCACTCTTAATTTGTTTTGTTCACTTGTTAGATTACATTACTTGCTTTTTCCCACTAGTTATCTTACAACGGAGGCGTCTAGTTTCTGTGTCTGGGCACTAGTTACCTGAGTACGTTACATTATTTGAAAGAATACACACACAGAGGGTACTGGGGTGGGCCTACCTCCAAATGGCCCTTGTTTACATACACACGACGGACTTATTTTGTGTATAATTTTTCACTTGATATTAAAATATATTAATTTTTGTTATAATAGACACAGGTTTTGCATAGAGAGCTTAGCACTATGAGCACTGATTACTTGATGGTTCAATAGCGAGAGATGTGATTTATTGACGACTTGGCAACTATCGCCTAAGGCCTCCTGGCACCACGAGGGCAGGCGTTGACTACACACGAATTTCACTTATTTTTTTCTTGAACACAAACGGTTGGATGGTAATCACTATGATATATTGATTAATATGGTGAGACACACTTTAAAAGTTATCTGACTGTGTTTAGTTCCTGTATCACTGAAATATCCCGAGTTATATATTGTTTTCCGCGTAGCTCGCACCGTGTGGCCCTTCCCCTCTCACACCCAGAACAACCCCCTCTATCATATATTTCACAAAACTTGACATACATCTCATTTACTTCCTTGCCTATCAACAAGTCTGTCCAATTATACTCGCTAAAATTTTTTCTAAGGTTGCCATAATGTCCTCTCCTGAAGTCAGGTTTTTCAACTGCTTCAACCTCCTTATTTTCTTCCAGATTATAATGCATTGCATACTTTATTCCCAAAAAGACATGGTCACTTTTACCCAAGGGAGGAAGGTACTGAATGTCAGTACCTTCCATTATACGGGCTTGCCTACCCCTATCACTTTGTCGAAAAAAGAATTGATTTCTTCTTCGTTTCTGCTCTCATTTAGATGTGTTGCCTCTCCGAGGTTTAATTTCAGCTTCTCTGTCCTCTCTTGAAAGATCAAGATCAAGGTGTGTGTGTTTATATAAAATGTATGTATGGTTAATATTGCTTAACACTTTTATTTTTTCTGTTTGCATTAATGTATTCTATAATAAAATAAGTTTATTAAAAGTACAGTAATTGAAACTGTTGCAACAAAATTTAAAATATATATATATATTGTGTGTGTGTAAGTACTGTGTATACATTATTTACCCTTTGTCATTGTATATACTGTTCAGGGTGTCCTGTACCAGACTGTCTGGCGAGTCCAAGACTCCAACACAGGCAAAATCATCTGGTAGATCTTCAGCATCGTTTAAGCTTACAGTGGGCTCCAATACACCAACTCCAGGCAGCTCAAGAAGATCAAGCTCGAGCCATGGAAGACTCACAAACACTGCTCAACCCCCAGTATGTTATTCATGAAACTATAGTGAAGACTTATGGTTCTAATTTAATGCCTTTTTATATTTGTTGGTTAATATGGTCAGTTTTAAATCAAAACAATGATTGCCCAATACATTAGGACATAAGCTAATTAACCATTTGGAGGTCCCTTCCTCGCCCCCAACCCCAGAAAAGAAAGTATATAACCTGCAGCATTACATAAAACTATTACCATATATTACTGCAGTGCATTGGGTGCCAGGGAGACTTTCTGGGCAATATCTGAGATTATAGCACTGGCATCCCTGGGGTCACAGTTGATATGCAATGCTGATGAGACTTTCTGTACTTACCAGTATCAAGTTTTTCATCTAAGGGGTAGAACATTGCATGGGTATTTAAAGCATGAATGCACTTAATGTTAAACTGCCCAAGAGGTCTTTATAAAGGAAGTTACAAACAAATCTGTCAGAGAAATATCTCTGACAGATTCCCGCTTCAGTCCGAAAGCTAGGCTTCAACCAACGCGAAAAAAATGTCGACCGGTGAGAGGGAGGGTTGCCAGGAAGCCTCCGGGGCTCACTCAGAAAATGGCGTTTCATTACATTCAACGTTGGTTTTCTGTGGGGGAGCCCCTACGGCCCCCTGGAGCTTCATACCCAAAGATAAGGAAAAGAAAGGGCTAACCCGGGAGGCGACCACCACAAACTCTGCAACGCGAAGCTGAGACAACAGGTTGCAACCTGCAACCCAAGGCAACAAGAACGCACAGGAGCAGACGCGCATAAAGAATGGGCGGCCAAGAACCTGTGCAACCCTCAAATCCCTGCGCCCAAAATGAGCCCTAGACGTCGCCAACACAGCAGCAAAAGCCGCAAATGTCTGAACAGCACGGGCGCAAAGACAGACCGCAGGCTGGAAGAATGAAAAACTCTGCTGATGACCTGGGAGACCCGAGCCATGAAAACAGGGAACGAGGGGAACCGGATCAACCACAGCGCATTTCCAGACACGTTACGCAGGCAACGGCAAAAAGCACAACCGGACAACACAGAACGCACCCCCGGCCAAACCAATCAAGCATCAATAACCCAAGAACCCCTCCAGAAAGCAGCCGTCTCGACCGTCGCCGGGACGGAGAAAGGCTGCACGTACAAATCTACCACCAGTACCAAAGAGCAGAAACCTGAACCGAAGGGGCTACCACAAACTGAGGAGAAGATAAGAAGGCACCCTGATCAAGGAGCAGGACGGCTCAGGCGACGCATGAGCAGGCTGGAGGTGAAACAAAACACGAGAAAGCGTATGAAACGTCATACTGTTGCCAAGACGAAGCTCGCAGGTGGGACACCGTCAACAAAGCCACCTGAACACCACAGAGATGGTGATACCCACGTCAAAATACCAGACGCGAAGAGCCGAGGAGAAGGCCGAACCAGTCACGTACAGGACCGATTCAACCTGCCGAAAGAGGCGGAGCCGCGGGAAAACGCCCCGGGTTCGGACACCTATCGAGCAGCGTCTGAAAATAAGGCTGGGCCGGCCACCAAGGAACCATAAAGACTGCTCTCGTGGCAATGGGCTGCAACCGAGCAAGAACCCGAAGCAACAGCTGGACCGGGAGAAGAGGAACAGGTACCCCCCACCTCCTTACCTACCTTGAGGTTACCTTGAGGTGCTTCCGGGGCTTAGTGTCCCCGCGGCCCGGTCGTCGACCAGGCCTCCTGGTTGCTGGACTGAACCAGGCTGTTAGACGCTGCTGCTTGCAGCCTGACGTATGAGTCACAGCCTGGTTGATCAGGTATCCTTTGAAGGTGCTTATCCAGTTCTCTCTTGAACACTGTGAGGGGTCGGCCAGTTGTGCCCCTTATGTGTAGTGGAAGCGTGTTGAACAGTCTCGGGCCTCTGATGTTGATAGAGTTCTCTCTGAGTACCTGTTCCACTTCTGCTTTTCAACAGGGGTATTCTGCACATCCTGCCATGTCTTCTGGTCTCATGTGATGTTATTTCTGTGTGCAGGTTTGGGACCAGCCCCTCAATTATTTTCCACGTGTAAATTATTATGCATCTCTCCCGCCTGCGCTCAAGGGAGACTAAAGAGCCTACTCAAGGGAGTAGGCTCTTTAGTCGGTCCCAGTAATTTAGATGTTTTACTGAGTGGATTCTAGCAGTAAAGGATCTCTGCACGCTCTCCAGGTCAGCAATTTCTCCAGCTTTGAAAGGGGCTGTCATTGTGCAGCAGTACTCCACTCTAGAGAGCACAAGCGTTTTGAAAAGTATCATCATCATCGGTATAGCATCTCTAGTGTGAAAAGTTCTTGTTATCCAACCTGTCATTTTTCTTGCAGTTGTGACGGCTACTTTATTGTGTTCTTTAAAGGTAAGGTCTTCCGACATGAGTACACCCAGATCCTTTACATTGCCTTTTCGTTCTGTTATGATTTGCCTGAGTTTTGTACGTGGTTTCTGTTTTTATATTTTCAATTTTTCCGTAGCGCGTGAGCTGGAACTTATCCTCGTTAACACCATATTATTTTCTGTAGCCCATAGAAAGACCTGATCTACATCTGATTGGAGGTTTGCCATGTCCTCTATGTTGCCAACTCTCATGAAAATCCTAGTGTCATCTGCAAAGGATGATACAGTACTATAGGTTGTGTTCTTGTCTATGTCCGGTATGAGGATGAGAAAAAGTACTGGAGCAAGCACAGTACCCTGGGGGACTGAGCTCTTCACGGTTGATGGGCTGGATTTTATTTTGTTGACTATTACACATTGGGTTCTGTTAGTCAGGAAATTGTAGATCCATCTGCCTATTTTTCCGGTAATTCCTTTTGAACGCATTTTATGTGCAATAACACCATGGTCACATTTATCAAAAGCTTTTGCGAAATCTGTGTAAATTACGTCAGCGTTTTGTTTGTCTTCCATAGCATCTAATGCCATATCATAGTGGTCCAGCAACTGTGACAGGCAAGAGCGCCCTGTTCTGAAACCATGTTGTCCGGGGTTATGGAGATGCTGTGATTCCATGTATTTTGTGATCTATCTTCTTAGCACTCTCTCAAAAATTTTTATGATGTGCGCTGTTAGTGCTATCGGTCTGTAATTTTTTGCCTCTGCCTTATTTCCTCCTTTATGAAGTGGTGCTATCTCTGCTGTTTTTAGTATGTCAGGGATAATGCCAGAATCTAGGCTTTGTCTCCACAGAATGTGAAGGGCCTGCAATAGTGGTTTATTACAGTTCTTGATGAATATGGAGTTCCAAGAATCCGGGCCTGGTGCAGAGTGCATAGGCATACTGTTTATGGCTTCTTCAAAATCTAGTGGGGATAGGGCAACGTCTGATATATGATTTGATGTTGGTATCATATCCATGAAAAATTCATTTGGGTTATCAATCTTTAGTGCATTTAATGGCTCGCTGAAAACAGTCGTACTGCTTCCTCAGTAACTCACTCATTTCTTTGTTGTCATCGGTGAAAGTTCCATCTCCCTTTCGCAGAGGCCCGATACTATATGTGGTTTTTGATCTTGATTTTGCATAGGAGAAAAAATATTTCGGATTTCTCTCTATTTCACTGATGGCCTTTTGCTCTCTTTGCCTCTCCTGGGTTTTGTATGATTCTTGTAGCTTGAGTTCAATTGTTTCTATTTCTCTACCTAACCTTCTTCGCCGTTCTTGAGATAGGGTGCGACTCAAGTTGTTCCGCGATTCATTTTCTTCACCTATATAGGGAACGACGTTCCCGTTCCAATCTGCATTTCTTTCTCTTTTTTTCTTAGGGGTATGCGGTTTGAACATATTTCTAGTGCTACTGAGATTATTTTTTCCAGGCACTGGTTCAGGTTTGCATTTTCTAGCTGTTCTTCCCAGTTTATTTCTGTGAAGTCCTGGTTTATTTGCTCCCATTTTATCTGTTTATTATTGAAGTTGAATTTGCTGAAGTCTCCTCCACCGGGAATCTGGACTGGAATCGACCAGTCCTGCCAAAAAGCATCCACCGTGAATGCCTCGCAGGTGGGTAAGGGCGCCACATAAAATGGGCGACGCCTAGACCACGCCGACTCGAAGACGTCCACGGCCAGGAGTCCATGCGTCCAACAGAGCCAACAAAACGAGTCGGCGATGACTGGCCAATCCGCGAACAGAGGAATGAACCGAGACAGCTGTCCGCCAGGACGCAGGACACACCCCAGACATGAACCTCACGGTTAGCCAAACCCCGAGAATCCAGCAAACGAGCCACTACGGAACCAACCCCAAAGGTCAACACCCTTGGTTCCTGCAAAACCCTGTGGTTCCGGCAAAACCCTGTGGTTCCGGCAAAAACCACCAGAGAACAGTCCGGACAGAGTTGAATGGTAGAGCACCGAGTGACCCAAACCCTCCGAAGCGCAAACCAGACAGCCACCAACTCCCGAACCGTGCTATGAGCCCGATGGACGGACAGATTCCACCATCCCCGGCCGACCTGGTGAGCACTGGTCACAAAGCCCCAGCTGAGAGATGACCCATCCGTGAACACATCGAGCGAAGGCTTGGGGAGGTGCCAAGGAGGCACGGAACCCCGAAAACCCCAAAGAGGAAGCTGGTGATGCAGCACCAACACAAGATCCTCGGAGGAACAAACTCAACGAATGCAAGAGGCGGAAGGGGAGTCTCCGAAGGAACCAAACAGACGCCGAAGCCAAACCTGACCCCAAGGGCAGACCAGCACATCGAAGTTCAGACTCCCGCACAACTGCTCAAGCAACCGCTGAGCAACCTGGGACCCCCTCATGTACAGCCGAAGGCGGGACCACAGCTGCAGTAACACTTCTGGAGGGAAAGACAATGAGTGGCCCAATAGCCCTAAACAAGGCCCAGGTCCGAACCCGGGACAGAAACAGATGGAATGGCCTCCAGATCACCAGGAAACCAAAACCCCGGTGATCTGGAAAGAACCACACCTAACCAAACGGGGCGGCCTCGGGGCATCCGAGTGGGAAACCAATCTAGCGTGTTGCAGCAACCTAACCTA